TCGTGGTCTGGCGTCGGGCTCCGCAGTGGCGGCGGGCGCAAGCTGCCCTGGTTCCTCAGCACCCTCGGGCCGGGCTGGAGCCGGCCCAGGAAGGTCGTTTCCCTGCAGTTTACAGTAAGTGTCGGAGCTCTGGCTGGACAGAGGCCGCGCGGGCTTTTTCTTTCTACCTTTCCCCCAACTCCCTCCCCAGCCGGCGTCTCGGTCACATCCACGACTGTGGGCCTCTCTTCCCCAAATCAGGCCGCGCCCAGCGCTCAGGGTTCCCCCGGGAGATGAGCCCTTTCGGGTAAGCGTTTCTTAAGCATAGTCACTGGCTTCTCGTATCTACAGTAAAGCCTCAATATCGTGGATAGTTTCTGCGACTTTAAGTAAAACTAGTGTCAGGAGAGTCATTTATCGTAGGCTGATATAAACAAGCAACATTCCGAGGGCATCTCATCACCCAAACCAGGTTGAGCAGCTCCATGTTATTGGAGGCCCTGCTGAACGCCGCGGGGTGTGACCTTGGTCTGACCCTGTTCTCAGGGCTTGCTCTTCCTCGCGTTTTGAGGGCCCGCAGAAAGCCCCCTGGAAATGTTCTTTCCTCCAACTCCCTTTGGGAATCTGCTCTTTGTGGCGGCTTCTGAATCTTTCCTCTTTTCGTGAAAATCTCTCCCAAGGACCACCCATCTCGGTGCAGGGTCCTTTCCTAATCTCTCCTCCTACTAAATAAAAGAAACAATTAAAGAATCCCTTGAGAATAAGACACTGACCTAAGCGTTTTGCACGTATTTTATTTAATCATCGCACCACTCCTTAGGTAGATACCAATGAGAAGACCGAGGCACAGAGAGTTTACATACTTTGCTTGCAGTAACAGCTGGGTGTGATGGAGTTGAAATTTGAATCTCCTGTGTAGCTTGCCCCAAAGCTGGTGCTGTTACCGCTTTTTCTTTCCCATACACCTGGGCATCTCCCCTTTAGTTGTTTCTGGTGAGGAATTTTTCCTGAATGCTGTCTAGAATGTTCCTGTCTCTGAAAATGTGGCCGTTGTCTACAAACTTTCTCAGAGCTCTCCACACTGGCCCTTGAGTGCTCCGTTTTTACCAGGTGTCTAAGCTCTGAGTTTAGTAATATTTCACATCCTCAAAATGTACTTGATGCTTCGTTTTGTACTTCTAACCCAGTCCTCATTAATCAGCCTTCTTCCCCTGAATGTCATTATTGTTATCACTGTTCTCGGCAAACATTTCAGCCGTTTGTATAAGACAAGATAATTGCAGCCCTCCCCTCCGAAGCCTACATGTTAAAAACACCTGATTTAGAGACATAAAATGAACTGCAGTTCAAAAGGCAAGACTAAGCAAGATGTGAAGGGTCTTTAGCTTGTAGGCCAGTGGTTCTCAACCTTCCTAATGCCA